AGGGCGTCATAGCAAAAAGAAATTACATTTTTATGATGTTAACTCTCGAGCTTCATGTTCGCAAAACAAAACGACCTCGTACTTTAGATACTTTATAGCCTCTCGACAGGACTTTGAGATATACGAGCTGGCTTTAATATCGTTATCCAAACGACGTGTCCTGCACACAAATCACATTTACAGGCAACCGTTGCTTATGAATGCAATTTAGTAAGCAAATAACCGATATACAGTTATCTAAAGTAATTCGATAATTCAGTGTTAAGAAAAAAATTACGAAGATCATGATCAGTATAAGTTGTGAGATTAAATGCGTTTTTAAAGTGCGTGCAAATTCAAGCAATACTATAATATCGAATAATATCTATTAATAAGAGAAAATGATGAAAGAATATACAGTCAATGGAATTAGCACATTAATTGAATGATCTTTATACCTCTTAAATTTATATTTTAAAAATTTAATTTAATTATTAAACGATATCAATTTAAATATTTTGGAATAATTACAGATTTTGAAGAGATTGTATATGTAATTGTTGATTAATGAAGATGTTTAACTTAAATTAATATGAAACAACGAAACTATTATGTTCAATTTTTTTCTATTATTCTTATTTTTTTAAGTAAGATTTAATACAATATATTTACATTTCGATATAGTTGAAAATGAAATCGAAAGTCTTATTCATTAGTCTTCTACATTTATCTATTTACCGAAAAGATTGTCCCATTCTCAACTATATTAGTTGCATATTGGTCACGCGGCATGATAGCTCCGTCGAATGACCTTTAATAGTGGCTCGATTTTACAAATGTGGGTTGAACGGCGAGGATGGTGGGCGAACGGGCACGTTGTGTCGGAACAGAGGATCATAAAGGGTGAAATAATGGAAAAAGTAAATCAATACTCTGGTACTCGCTGAGACCGCGGACGGCGCTCGTTGCGACAACGACGACGATCGGGGCCGTCGATGAGGGAAGAAAAGCGTGTGTGATTTCGAGCAGCGAAAAACCGCAGGTGTGTGATACCTCTTCTCGAGGATATTCGGTCTATATCGTCGATTTTCTCCGTATAGGGTACCATTTGTCGCTGATTATGGTAAGTTACACGTTACACACGCGGAAAATTGAAATATTCTACTGCTTTTTAAAACATTTAAACAATTAAACGATTCGCAAATGTGCTCTAAGAAAATCTAAATTATGAAAATTTTTATGAGAATTCGTTTAATTATATTAAAAAAAGAGCTATATTGTTTTTTTAATTATTGTTATAATATATTGATGTTGTATAGTATATATAATAACTCTTTCTTTATACAAGATGTTACTAAATTTTTTAGAGGATTATCAAATTATGATCGGTATCTCACATAGACAAATCTGTCAACAATAGATGTTGTCAAGTATTTGTTTTTTGTCAAAAAATTTTGTCAGCAGAGTGTCGACAGAAATCTGCTACCAAAATAAGATGGAATCTATCAGCATAATCTGAATAAAATTTGTCATTTTGTGTAATTGTTTAAACATAAAACATATTATTTAAATAATAAGTACAAAATGGCAATACATTCTGCTTGATTTCTAAGCCAATTTAAAATAAAATTATGTCGGCAGATTCTGTTGGCAGAATACGAGCTTACGGACGTAGCTGATGTCAATCTGCCGCACTATTTCGCTTGTATCTTGTATCTACTATATAAGCAAACTGCTAACAGACTGCTAATATTTTGTTTACTAGGATGTTGTAGTGAAAAAATAAATGACAAATTGTAAAGAAAAGAACCTTTTGTGCTATTCTGCAGATGCACGCATTGATTATCATGCTCTACTGTATTCTGCTCCTTTTGATTGCTGTTGCTGCACGGTCGAATATTTACTTGCCTTTAATGAAGGTAATTATGAAAATCAACAGTGCTTTACAAATGTAAAAAGTAGATGAATTAAAATGAATCGAGAGGAATTTCCTTCTGCGAAATGGAATATTTAATCTTCGAAATCAGGAATTGATTTAAAAGTTTCTGAAAATTCACTTTTTCTCCTTCAAAAATCCTGGTACATATAGACATCACACATGAAGATCATGTCAGCTTATATATATATATATCTTAATGCTGAATTAGAAGAAAATACAACTAATTTTTTGAAAAAACTTTTTCTCGATTTATAATGTATTGTTTATTCCTCATAGGAATTGAGCATTTCAAATTGAGAATTTCAAAGACAATTGTTGAGAGATTTCGAAGATAGTACGTAACATCGCAAAGTAAATTCCTGCTTATTTTTTTTAATTCATCCGTTTTTTGCAGGATGTCAAAAGAGCATGTAATCCATTATTTGGATGTATCCAGGAGGAGGATTTATGGACCGACAACTTTTTGCAAGAATTGATCGATCAAGTGGGAAATGAATTTGTGAGTGCGCCTGATTCGTACTTGGAATATCAGGAGGAGAAAGCCAAGGAATTGCCCATGGAATTGCCGGCCGATTACGATAACATGGACACTTTGAACCCGAATCCAAGTATACGAGATCAGGAATATTTGCAGCACAGTACGCTCTGGAGTCATCAACGGTTCGACAATAATAAAAATAATAATGACAAAGGTTATAATAGACATAGAATTCAATTTAGTCTGAAAGGACTCAAGGACGAGAAGGCGGAAAATCCTTTACCGGCTTACTGTACTCCTCCGAATCCTTGTCCAGTTGGATACACGAGTGAGCAAATAAAATTCAACAATATAATCTAATTAAGAAATAATAGAGAGTCGTTACAAAAAACATTTCTTTCATATAATCTTCTTTTATATA